TCCTGCGCTTTATTATTGTCGGGGTAATGGCGTGGTCCACGCTCTCGCGCCCTCCCTCCATATCGTTTATTGCTGTTCGACCACCACCTTCGACTCCTACATCTCGACCTCTCCCCGTGCTCGGCCCGTGTTGCCACCTCCTGTGTTATCGTCGACGACGTCGTTCACGACGACGGCCATGTTCCGGAACCTTATCGTCCCGTGTAACACTAAGCGGCCATGAGATATCGATCTCCGAACAGCGGATGTTTTACCTCCAAAGGACTAGAGAAATCAACGGAGTCCGCGTTTCTAGAACGAGAAACTCCCCGTCACGTTCTCTCCAAGTCGGGATTCAACGACGGGGACAACGTGACCGTGAACTTGGTGGGACGACACAGCCCCTCGAGGGATGTTTGAGGGAAGAGAATCTCCTCTCGAAACTCGAAAAGGATGATCGGTCCTTCCGTCGCTACTTTACTGCGGAAACCGATCGTCGAGCTTTGCGCGACAGATATTATAGGAGAGAAATGTAATCTTTAAATATGTCACAAAACAGGCTATACAGGGTGTCTTCGATCGATTGTACTTTCTTTTTGACGGTAGACATCATATAAAAATAACTTTAAAAAAGTGAATTTGAAAAAAGAAAAAAATATGCTAAAAATATCAAAAATGATTAAACACTATATATGTATATTGCATGTACATCTAAATAAGCGTTTATCTAATTTGCTTAAAGTATTCGACTTTTTTTTTTTTTAAATCTCTAAACTGACATTTATATAAATATATATTAGATACTACCAGTGTTTTGCATAGATAATATTGAAATCATCTAGATAAAGATAAGATAAGACAAAATTTTATCTTAGATAAAAGATGATTTATTTCAAGTTTATCTAGATAATAGATGAAATTATATAAAGCATTTTATTAAAATAATATTAAGATAACATTGCTTTAAAAAAAATAATTAAGGAAAAATGTAACAACTAAAATAATATATAGTTACCTAGATATAGATATAGAGTTATAGATTTTTTCATTGAAAAGATCACATTCGACAGTGAAAATAATAGAAAATACCACGCGCGTACAAGGCAAGTATGCACGCAACACACTTTAGGTCTATTTTTTATAGTTTCACATTAAGTACAGTGCTTAATGATTCTTTAATATGATTGGATCTTACCTTTGGTTCCCCGTTGGATCTAAATGTAAGAACCAAACATATTAAAGAATCATAAAGCGCTTACTAAGGGCTGAGTTCTGTTGAATGCAGCCATTATCTTAGATAATTTAAGGCAGATGACGCATTTTTCTATCTAAGATAAAGATATAAATAATACATCCCATTATTATCCAGATAAAGATGAGATAATGCAATTGCGTCATCTAAATGATTATCTAGATAATTTCATCTAGATAACAGCAAACACTGCATATTACACTTTTTCTTTAAATAATTTTATAGAATTCTTTTTAAATCTTCTCTTCTCTTTATGATTTGATATATATACATATATGTATATATATTTTCTTTTATTGAAAAAAGTGCCATTAGCTCGGGGACACCCTGTGCATTAAAATTTGAAATAGGCGAGCAGACGTTGCACGCGTGTGTGCGTTGTCTAACGTGGAGGTTTCCACGTTACGTCCGGCCGTGTCGAGAGGGCGATTATCTCCTGAAACGTATCGAAACGAGACGAAGAGGAGAAAAAGGAAAACACAAGACTCACCTGCTATACTGGAGGTGGAGGCGCCGAGCCAAGCGTGGGACGACTCCAACAACTTGGCCTGAAACAGAAAAGTTCGGTCGGTCAGACGTCAGTGTGCTAAAGCGGCGATTAGCGGCGATTTAACGGCCGGTTGGGAAAACGACTTAATCCCTTATCCGGACAATCTCTTTTTCTAACCGAAAGCAAAACGAGTACCGCTGCGGGATAATTATTTAATCGAAAATCGCCCGTAAGAGAGGGAGAGTTGAAGTATTTTAATCCTTGTCTAGTACCGCGTTCGGCGTCGCAAAATATAATTAGTATTTAATTTTTAATTATAAGTTGTATAACAAGGAATATTTAAATCCCTACTTAAAATCTAGTCGTCGCGTTCTAAGAAACACTTTAATCATCGAATCGCGTTTGGCTTGATTAACTGTACTTTTGTGTGTCGGATAATAAGAGAGGACTCTATAAAAAATTTAAAAGATGTAAAAAATTTTCTAAAAATTCAGGCACATTTTTGTCTGAATTTTCAGATCTGAGTGTCTGAAAGGAATTTCAGACAATCTGACTTAATCATCGGAGTTTTCATGAAAATTTAGAAAAGTGTGTCTAAAAATTCAGACAGAATGCTGTCCGAAAATTCAGACAGTATGTCTGACGCAAAGAAGCTGCAGACACTTTGTTTGAAGTTTCAATTTTCAGTTTCATTTTACAGATAACAAACTCAAAATTCTATAAAGAGAATTCATTGGATAGACAAGATAAAAGTATAGCACTTTTAATCGAGAAAGCGCGCGAATGCGACTCGACATTCTTTTTTCGCAGCTCAACATCGCTCAACTGTCCGAAAATTTGCCGAGTAAAGATTCGTACACACCGGAAACGCGAGGGTAATCGGAGCTGTTCACCTCAGCCGACAACTTTGTTAATATGCGGGGCTTTTCGAAAAGGGTTTCGCGAGACGCCGGGCACCGAAAGCGCAAGACACACGCAAAGTTGGCTCATTTGAAAAGTTTCGCCTCCCCCTCCCTCTCCCTCTGTCCCCGTCCCTCTTCCTCCGGGCCACCGCTTTCAGATTTCGCGATTTCCGCAATATCGCGGTAAGCAGGAGCACGCGCCGCTATACTTCTCGTGTACGCTACACTTCCGGCCGCACTTTCTCTCTCTCTCTCTCTCTCTCTCTCTCTCTCTCTCTCGCCTGACTTTTCAAATTAATTTTTAAGGGTCGCTCGATGCACCCAGATCGCCGCTTAAATCCTTCCGCTCCGTTTCTTCCACTTTCTCTCTCTCTCTCTTCCTCTCTCTCTCTCTCTCTTTCTTTTCTTCCCACGAGCGGGAAAAAATTTCGTTGATCCACGAAGTTCTGCTGGAATTGGATGCTGCTTTAGTTTGAAGGACGCTCGTACGGAAAGTGTTCTCGCCCTACGCTCTATCCAATCATTTAAAGAAAGTATATTCTTTATTTAGGCGCTGAACTCTCTCTCAATATTATTATACTAATAATTCACCTATCAATAAATTTAAATTACTATTAGTTCATTAACCCATCCCACATGTGTGAATATTCGAGTAGATATGAACAACTTAAACGTCATTTGACACAGTTAGATAGTTTTCAAACGTTACTCTTCAGAAGTAAAAAAATACTTCCGTATCCTTCGCGTATTGTATCGCAGAATATTGAAATTTTTCAACAGTATACAAAAGATCGACTGAAATTTCAGACATAGTGTCTGCAGCTTTTTTCCAGATGCATTGTCTGAATTTTCAGACACGCTTCGATTTTCAGACACGCTCCTCTGAACTTTCAGAAAAACGACTCTGAGATGATTAAGACAGACAGAGATGAAATTCCTTTCAGACACTCAGATCTGAAAAATTAGACAAAAATGTGCCTGAATTTCCAGAAAATTTTTTACAATGAAATCTATTCCAAGATACACTCTTCGCACCGCAGTTACCGTAAGTCGCTTTTCGGGATTCATCTCTCCGGTCATCAGGTTCATTCACGCGGAAGTAAAGAGGAGGAGGAGGAGGAGGGGGAGAGGGCAAGGGCTTTCCACGAGGCGGAGGCGAAAGGCGGCGGTGGTGCAGGCGAAATAACGTCTCCGTCGTCGTGACACGAGGGGGAGATGGCACGAGAGCGTTGGCAATTTCGCGAAATAGCCCCGCGTCAATACACGTGCACACGCATCTCTCGGCTAAACCACACAAAGAATTATTGAGCAGCCCGCTTGCTGTTTCCGACGAGCCTCGCTCGAGCCGTGGAGGAGGACGAGGAGGACGAGGAGGATGCATAAGTGAGACCAAGAGGGAGAGACAGCAAAAAAAAAAAGAAGAGAAAGAGAGAGAGAGAGAGAGAGATACCGAGTCCCGCTCTCTCTGCAGTTGTAACTTGAACGCGCAAGTAGTATATCGCGGCGCGTGCATTTTTCATTGTCTCGCGTCTCCCCCCCTCCCTCCCGCGCCCCCGTCCTCTGCGGTGCAAGCTCGTGGAACACGCCGTGCGGAGTGCATACGCGACATGCCGGTTGACGTGTGCATTGACGAGAAAATTGCGAGCGTCCCTATATATCGCGGTCGCCCACTCCCGACTCTGTGCGCTCTCTCTCTCTCTCTCTCCTTTTCTCTTTCCCCGCATTTTTTCCCGTCCTTCTCTCCTTTTTTCAAGCCGTCCCGTCGTTCTTACGTTATTGCGCTCGGAATGCAATGCCAGTTCGACCGCTTTTCTCGCGGATAATCCCGTTCGACGAACGCGACGACGACGAGAATACGAGAGACGCGATAGGGCTCGTTTGAAGATTTTTGTAATGAAAGAATTGCATATTACATACGCATACGGGCGAGTATAATAATAGGAGCGTATGCCAATAAAGATTACAATATGTGTTCTTCTTTTCTTTTCTTCTTCGTGTATCCATGAATTAACATCATAATGTAAAAGAGACAAGATGGACAAAAGCGTTTTCGAAACCATTCAAATTATATGAATATATTCTTCGTATCATCACAGCTTTAGAGAGGAAATAATGAGGTGTCCCGTTTCATGTAAGTTGTTCAGCGAAACACCACAGTGCGACACCACTCGCAAATTTTGAAATAAATTTATCATCGATCGTTATCGCATTATACTTAGAGATTAAAAGGATAGTAGAAATATAGAAACTTTGGGTAAAAAAACTCGGTAAAAAAACTTATTCTCCCAAAAGTGAGTATTTTATCTCATTAATTACTCAGAATATCCATTTTCAAAAATCTAATTTCGATGCTTATTTATTAACCTTTGATGCAAGAGGAGGTTTGAAAAATGAGCATCCAATTTACTAAAATTAGGTATCAGATTCCATGTCCTGTGTTATTCTTACTTCAGGTCCACAAAATAACAACAGTTTGAATATGCTTGACAGAGTTTTCTTCTAACTTTTATGAAACTTTAAAAATAAAAAGCATCAAAAAATATCATTAAATTATAAAAATCAAAATTAACCTGTTTTAAAATATTCAAATTCAACTGATTAAACAAATGCGAAGTAGTAATTAGTTCAACCACCATCCATTGAAATTGATTATTGACCCAGTAAACAAATTTAATTTAATTCCCATACCATCTTTTGTTCGAAGAAAACTGGCACTATCTTTCAAAATTACCAAAAAAACAATTTTTTACCCAAAAATACCGGTTTTGTTCCTTCGCCCATTTTTAAAAAACTCGGTTTTTTTATCTCTAATCATACTTGTTTTTGACATCGCGCTTAAGAACTTCAAGAAGCGGGCGTGAAATCACTTATACGGAAGAGAGCGCGGAAAAGGAGCGGCGGCGTCTCGAGACGTGCACAGAGAGACGCTGTCATTCAGCAGCAGCATCAGCAACAGCAGTCTGCATCTCAATTTGTTTCGACGTGCGACAGCAACACACGCCCACGTATATAGTCCGGTGAGTTTCTGTATGATGTATGCCGCTAATGGAAATGAGGCCTCTCGTTCTCTCTCATTTCCCCTTCATCTTCCCCGTTCCCTCTCTCTTTTTCTCTGATCCCGACGCGAAGCGCGCATCCTCGTCTTCGTCATCTTCCCCTTCATCTTTCAGGCCGGCCGACGAGAAGACACACTGGAGATCGCCCTGGCCACGGCAGGAGAGAGGAGAAAGATTCGTGAATTAAATATATCGCGCCGCGAGCTCGTGCGCGATTTTATCCCGCTTGCGAATCTCCCCGTCTCTTTCTCGCGCTCTTCTTCTGTCGCCTTCTTGCCTCTCTTCAGCATCGCATGCGCCCGCTATTAACCGCTTTCAAATTACCGGGCTGACCGCCTTGAATTTTTCACGACCGCCGCCGCCGCCGCCGTCGCGGTGTCCCGGCTTGCTCCTCTCCACGATCGAGATGCGGTCCGGCAATTCCGGAAGCTACGAACTCGACTAACGACGAGTTCCCAAAGACGACGCGCGAACAGCGAATACCGATACGTCTACTACTAATGTCGCAAGTGAGTTTTATCGCTTTAAGTGAACGTGTTTTTGCACATAATTCTGCTTTTCATCATCTATCTTTTCCCCTGTTCACCTTCTTCTCTATCTTCCTTATTTCTTCAATTTTGGTTCTTCATCAGAAAATGAACTATACTTCACTTTGAGAACTTTACTCTCATCCCTCAATTTATTTACATGATTATCGCTTAATTTATAGAAGATATATTCTTCTATCAATCTATTAATCACAGACTTATACTAAATAATTGATTTATAATTTATTTATAATTGTCGAAAGTTTCGTGGAAATTGTATATTTTGACAGAAGTCTAAAAGAGCGAGTTTTTAAGAAACCTACATATTTTGTCTAAAGATCCTTTATCAGTTGATGGCAACAAGGACGAATATTCGTCGCCAATAAATTGTAGAAGAAGAAGAAAGTAAACGCACAAAATATATTTTGCAAATATATTATGTATATAATAGGTTTATTGTCAAATTTGACAAGAAAAGAACATTGTCAGCAAAATAAAAATAATCACATATATTAACTCTAATAAATATTTCTGCAAAACTTTATTTAGATCTACTTACTTTACCTACTATAA